CACTCTATCCTTGGTTACCATCTAGGGTGCAATTATATCAGTGCTAATGTACCAAATCTCATTAGAACTCTGCAATTAAGCGTATTTGAATGAGAATAGTATTAGTATGAGTGATCCATTAGGAAGTCCGCGTGTTGCACCCTTTTAAAAATAAAGAGAGGTTATCAGTCACTTCCTTATGCTGTGAAACATCCCATGGTGCCCCACAGAGAGATATTCCACTTCCATGAGGATTTCCACATTGAACACTTTTTATAGGATCTTGACAATGAAGTTCATGAAAAAGTATAAACCAAGCAAGTTAATGGCAAGAAATGGATAGGGGAGAGAGAAAGAGAGAGTTTTTTCTTTTTGATAGTGCGTGGTGCTTATGAGCTGATGGTGCAAGAACTATATATATGTTGTTGTATGAGGGCATATGAATTGGAATTGCAAAGTGATGTTACAATCTCTTCGCAAGGATAAGATTGGTGCGTTAGAAAAAGAAAATTATTTCAATGGGTTCGCCATTAAGTAGTGCATATAGTCAGCCTTGGTTAGGTATTCGTTTATATGCATTTTGAAGATATATTGTGGGCCGTCCTTGTCTGATTTTTCTGACGGTACTGTCATAAAAACTTGTTTAATATAGTATTTAGGATAATGTGTGAAATCACATTTGACTCCAGATAATTATGAAGTCTTTGATTAATGTATTAAAAGAGTATAAACTACAGCCGCATCGTTTTAGATAAGTTTTAATACACGAACACTCCTTTAGAATTTCTTCCTGAGTAGTTTTTTTTTTTTTTTTTTTTGAAGTAGTTTTTGATAGTGGATATAACCGAAAGTCGCTTTTCACATTTTTACCCTTATTTTTTTGTGGCATAAACACATTTCCCTTTTTCTCTTGTTTTTTTCCTAACAAGCCGTTGTATGCAGAGGAGGACGTGTGCAAAATAGAAGAAGAAGAAAGAACAAAGTTGAAGGGGTTGTCATAATAGAAGTTGGCCACTAATTGCTCCACTGTCTCCACCTACAATGCCATAAGAGAGAGTGCGAGAGAAGAATAAGAGGAAGAGATAGAATTTGTCGGATTAGATGTAGAGATGAAGTGATGTTGTAGATAAGGAAAATGAAATTGTTAAAGAGGATTTTCATCTTTTCAGCTAGGAAGCACATTTTTGTAGTTTTATTATCATATTAGGGATTAGAAACTTGTTTGTCAAATTGGGAGAAAATTATAATAGATGAACATTGGTCATAGATAGCCCGAAGGTTATGAAGTTATTTTTGGACCATAAAATAGGTAAAATGAAGTTTCCCTTTTATGTTTGTATGTTTATTTTTGTTTATGTGTGTGCGTGTGCGTGTGAGAGAGAGACAGAGAGGGAGAGAGAGACAGAGAGCATAATCTGACGGATTAAAAGTTTGATTTGAATTCGATCCAATAATCTAACGGATTATATTTTTATGATTTATATCTGAATCTGTTAATAACTTGAAATTCGATTCGATCAGAATAAATTAATTTAACAAAATTTTAACAAACTATATTTAAATTTTAACTAAATTTCTTCAAATAATCACTTATTTTTTGTAATATTAATACAAAATTATATAAATTTCTTGAATCGAATTATAATCGGATCGAATATAATTATATTCAAATTCGAATCCATAAAATATAAAATATCATATTCGAATTCAAGTCCGATAATCAATAAAAGGACTGCAAATATGGTGGCCCATACAATTTCTACTCAGGCTGGGAAGGGGCTTTTAAATACCAATTGGGTAACACAACCACCCATACAAATTTTGGAAATCATATGTAAGGAAGTAAAAGTTGGCATAGGCTAGGCATATGTAATCTTTGATTTTTTAATGAATGAATTTTATATTTTTGACCAAAAAAAAAAAAATTCAAATTCAGGTTAAGGTAGAATTCGAATTAAAATTCGATTCATTGACGAGTCTTGGGATAGCAACAAGTGAAGGCCAAGTTGGACACTTTAAGCCCAATAAATTGTGGGCTGCAAATGATTGCTGTTGAGATCTTTCTAATTGTTGGACACCCCAACTATTCATTCTAATAGGCTCTCTAAGCTGGACTCTTTGACAGTATCGTGTGACTTGTAGAGGTGAAAAAAATTTATTATATCAGACACACAAATTAACCTTTTTTTATAAATAAATAAAAAAAAAAAGTGATAAGTGGCAATTTTTTTATTAATTGCGTACACCATTTATCGTTGCACTTATCTCCGACAGGGTTAAAAATTATTCAAATTTTAATTTATAACTTTAAAGTTTAAAAATATTAATTTATACCCCCAAAAGATATAAATACGTATTAATGTGCACCTGAGACTAAATGTCATATATTTTACCTTTTAACAAGTTTGGATTAATCATAAATTACACCCCTGAAAATTTAAATATTTTACATTTATGATCCAAAAAAAATTTCATTCATTAATGTTCGTTAAATGGCTCTCAATTGTATCGTATCATTACATTTTCGTATCATATTAAGTCTATTGTCACTAAAAGAAAAAAGTTTTTTACGATAGTAAAGTACTGTCATAAAAAGTCTATTTGCCGTCACAAATACTTTTTGTGACGGCATTGCCTTGTCATAATAAGTGTGATCTCAAAAGGTTTTCATGATAACAACGGTCTGTCTCAAATAATATTCATGGTAGCAAGACCCTGTCGTAAATAAGTTGTCACAAAAAATTCGACATTTTTGCTTTTATTATGGCGGCAAAAATGCTGCCTCAAATACCATATTTAGCTGTCGTAAAAAATAAAAGATATATTTATGACGGCAACGATGCCACCACCAAAAAAAAAAAAATTAATTATCATAAACCGTTGGTAACCAATGTTATATACTCTGTGCATATATACACTTCATTCATCTTTTTTTTTTGGAGGGGGAGGGGGAAGGGGGTTTAAATCTTTAACCTCAAGAAGGCAAAGTTTTCACAATGTAAGAAGTATCATTAGACCAAAGATCCGTTGTTATCCATACGACTACCTAATTTAATTTAATATATAGATAAACGCAAAAATAAATATAATCAACATTTCCAAAAACATAACAATATTTTCATATCCAAAAAAAAAAAAATCTAACGAGTTAAACAAAATGTAAAATATACACTTTTATAAAACATAACGATATATGAGTACAAGAAATTAATGTAAAAAGTTGAACATCCTTCCTGAACTATCTACTCTCTCGATAACATCTGAAAAAAATATAAAATTATTGTTACTATACTGAAATAATATTTATATACTTATATATAATAAAAAATTAAAAGAAGTTAGAATATACATCAATAGAGGGTCACGCAATATTTTTCTTAACAACTTGTCTAATTATGTAAATGGTATACAAACGAGTTATATCGTATACATTTCTTCTAATTGGTTTCACCAATACCTAATTTTTTTATAATTGTATCGTGACGGGTCCACTCGTTTATTAAACAGGTGGCTTGAAGAAAATTCAAACTCACTAATTTTATGTCATGTTAACGGGTCGTGTCATAATTTAACACCCCTAGTTTTGATATAAAAACTTGACTTTATAGAATTAAATTTTTTTCTTTGAACTAGAAATTATCTTTTGATGTTAAACTACGTAATTTTATAATATATTGCTTGCAACATAAAAAATTGTTGTGGTCAATATAAATTTTTTTTTAAAGTTTTTCTTCTTTAAACTATAAACTGTTTTTTAATCTAAAACAAAATTTAATGTTTTATGAAATATTCTATACGGGAAAAATAGCTGCCATAAATATAAAAAATTATTTTGAATTTTTAAAATATTATTTGAGGCAAGAAAAACAGATATCTCAAATAAAATTTGAGTTTATGACACTATTTATAGAAGAAAAAATAGTTTTCACAAATATTAAAATAAACACGCTTTTTGTGACGGCAAGCACAATCGTCACAAAAGATTGTCTCAAATACATCTTTTGAGACGGCGAACACAGTCGCTGTAAAAATTTTGTCACAATAGGCCTTTATTCTTGTAGTGTGTGTTGTGTCTTGTATTTCACATTTACGACAATTCATATAATACTATTTAATATTTTTTAAAAATTAAAAAATATCAAAATTTTGTATATAATACTTGTTAAACAACTATTTTTTGTCTACAGTTGTGTTATTCGTATGTAACTTTAATTTGATCAAACAATCAAAAAATTTGTATCTAACTGTTTACAGAAAATAATTATTTAACGACTATTGTAGGAAAAAAATACGTATTTTATAATTTTTTTTAATTTTGAAAAATATTTTTTATTAACATGAACACGACACGAAAATGTTATGATACGATATAATTGAAAGTTATTAAACGAGCATTAATGAATGAAATTTGTTTGAATCATAAATATAAAATATTTAAATTTGGAGGGTATAATTTATAATTAATCTAAACTTTCGTAACGGAAAAATGTACATAGTTAGCCCCACATGCACAATGATACAAATTTATATTTTTAATGTATAAATTAATATTTTTAAACATTAAATATATAAATTAAAATTTGAGTAGATACAAATTGAGTAGCCCTATTATTTATCAACACATTTTTAACACAACAGCAGTTGGGGATTTAACAAATTATTTCTTCGCCTCTCGACAGCAGTTGTGTGAGTGCCTTGACAATTGATCACATGCAAGCACGAGGACTTATACAGTCGTTGGTAAACGCTGACTCACAATCCCACACGTTCAATTTTCATAAATATTACAATTTCTCATAATTATATACACATATTGGTTGGCAGAACGTCACGTCTGGGTGCATGAAAGTCAATAATGTGTCAGAGTTATTCAACAAAACAAAAGGAAAACTAAGGAAAAAATCAAAAATTACAACTTTTTAAGTTCGAAAAATGCATGAAAAAACAGTTAAAGAAGATATAATGCATCCATCCAACAAATTAGAACAACACTGTTTCTTTTGTGTATTTACTCGAAATTTGCATGAGATTATTGTACAGTAAATAACAAGGAAGAATAAAATTTTTGTGCACTAGCCCCTCTCTGCCCTAAAATAGTGACATAAAACACAAACACCCATAAACTTAAACTCACTTGCAAGAAAAAAGAAAAAGAAGAAATGTATTGACACCATGTACTAATTAAAAAGAATGGCAACAAGAAAAAGACTGATCAAAATTCGATTAATTCCCTGTAAAGCTACTTGTCTTGTTGCTGGTCGTTAAGATGTTATTGTTGTTGGCTGCGGTGGTGGTGGTGGTGGTTCTGATATCGCTATTATTATTGTTCAGCTGAGCGCCACCGATCATGGATGTGATGGCAGCAGCAAGGGCAGCAGTGAAGTTTGGATCGGCAGCAATAGCGGCTGTGGTGGCAGTTAAAGTGTTAGTAAATGAGGGGTGGTGGCGGAATTGTGCTGAGTCCATGCCTTGATGAGAGAATTGGAGGCCTGAGAATTTTGATTGGTTATAAAGAGCTTGGCCAAAAACTTGTGCCATTGGTGGGGTTGACACTGAAGAAAAGTTTTGAGGTACTTGGAATTGAGTCTGGGGTCTTTGGAACTGTAAAGGGTTTGGTGTTTGTGTGGTAAGATCTAAAGTCACTGTTGGAAATGGTGCTGAAGCTGAAATGGTTGCCATGGTCGACGACGAAGGAAGAATCGCTCTTGCTAGGATATTAGGGTTCATAATCCCATCTGCACTCGACATGGAACCCGAAAGAAGCATATTTGCAGCTGCAGATGTGGTTGATGCCATGGCCATGGCAGCTGGAGGGAGTGGATGGTTATGGGTGCCTTCATAAGTAGTTATTAGGATTGCTCGATCCTCAGCACTCCTTTGAACCTACAAGAGCAATTGTTCATATTAGCTCAACTAAAATTTCAAAAGGAATACTTTTTCTATATATATCTATATATATATAGGTGCACGTATATATATTTCTCTTATGAGGTCAGATTTTGAAGAATTGTGTATATATAGTGCTCTCCTAATCTGACTTTCACTTTAGTATTCGTGTGCTATACGGAACTTTAAAAAAAAGACTTCAAACTAAGATTGTAGTACTATTTATCGAATAATACAGTTAATTTTCAAATACCATGGTTGGGACTTTAAATTACGACACCAAAACTAACTCCATTCCATATAGTATGCACTGGAGTGGTTGATAGTCAAAAGAACAACAATGGATCGTAACATTCCCTATTAATTTGTCTAGGGGGTGGATGCATTAGAGATGATTGCATTGAGGAAAGAGACTAAATTAGTGAAAGAAATGAACGTACTTGTTTTCGAACCGGACAATTAATAGCCATGGTGCAGCGATAATATGCTCGTGGGCATGGATTGCCTTTCGCCATCTTCTGTCCATATTTTCGCCATTGGCATCCATCAGTGATCTGTAATTTATGAAATCTGATCAGTCTCACAAGAATTGGGATAATTTTCAGTAAATTCTTTACAAATAATGTACATGTTTAATTGATTACCATGGGAGCTTCGGATCGAGCTCGAACAGAGACACGGGCTTTCCTCATTGTAGCTTCCATGGCCTGATCAACAACAGGCTTTGAAGGATTCAATTTCGGAAACTTATTAGGAACCCAAGCTTGTGATTCGGGGCTTTCTTGTTCCCTATCAATCCCTTTACCTTCACTGAGATTTTTACTCCTTGGGAGATCAATATTGTTTTTAGGCGACACTGAAAGTGTTCTTTCTTCTGATGAAGATTGAGATGGCTCATTAGTTTCGGCCACGGCACTAGGGCCTAAATCCATGAACTGTCTGGGCACCATTAATCCTCTAACCTCATGTTTCTTGTCTTCTGATTTTACTCTTACAGTCTGAAGGCACATAAAAATAATAATAATAAGGTGAGAACCATACATTAGAAACTCTTTTATCAACTAGAAGCTTTTTTTTTTGATATTACAGTTAAAAATGTTCGTTTATCTTATGCAAGCCTTAGTTAAGAAAAATGAAATAAAAAAATTCACGAGAAGACAAATTCCTCATAACTTGACCTCAAAAGAGTTGTCAAGTTTTAAATTTAGAATATATGTATTTATAACTTATTTATATCTTTCCCTAGACTATCTCTTAGGTTTGTTAACTAGAAGTTAATGTCACTTAGGTATTTTGGGAATTGCTGGTCCTCCTTCAGCTAGACCGCTTCATTTGTTGGACACCTTTTTTAGTTGAATTATTCGGTTATGTAAAGAGGCAAGGTTCCTCCCCTCTATTTTCATTATCAATAAATATTTGCCCTAAATGGCTTAATTAGAAAAAAAAAAAGGTCACTTAGAGCAATCGTCTAATCCTCTAGTCTTGTATATACACAGTGAGAGACTATAATCGAAGTGGGTATGAATATATCTAAAATAAATTACTTAGTTACCCCATGTTCTTGCGTGCTTTCTGTCTTTGAACCTTCTTGTTGTTGCATTAAGCTCGCAATATGCATGCGTAGAGCACTATAATTGTCGCTGACATGAGAAAGCATTCCTTTCAACCTCTGATTTTCAGCATTCATTCTTTCAAGCTCAACTTGCAACACTGCCAGCTGAATCATTAGAAAGTAAAGATTAGCAAGAAGTTCTTATGTATACATGGTAAATATTCTATTTTTAATTTTCAGCAGGGACAAATGAACAATTTATTTCCATAATTATCATAATTTTACCTCATTATTAGTTCTTTTATCTTTAGCATCGGAGGAAATTCCATGGTCCCCTTTTGATTGATCACTTCCCGTATTAGTAGTTAGAAGATTCAATCGAGTCTATAATTTGAAAATTAAATAAAAAAAGTCAATAATTTGGAAAATAATAATAATAATAATAATAATAAACATTGATAACAACAATATTATTGCATTTCAGTAACAATATATGGCATGATTAAAGCACCAAAAAAAATTACTTGAAAATACAATAATTAAGCTATGCTGCTTACATTTACATCGGAATCAGTCCTAAGAGCTGCTTCTCTGGGTGAATTTTCCTTCTTCACAACAATATTATCATTTGATTTCTTGTTGTCGGAGAAGAAATCCACTTCACCTATAACCACCCGAGGCTCATTGGCCGGCGGCGAAACTGTGTGATCCTCCCTGCGGTTCAGACTCACCGGAAACTCAGTGCCAGTAAACATAATACCTTTATTGTTATTCAACCTTGGAGTCAAACTAAACCCAACTGGCTTATTAGAAAATAACCCAACCGAATCAGAATTATCCAGAGTTAGACCCCATCCTTTTCCCATCAAAAACAAAGGAAAACCCAAGAACAAGAACTGGATGAGAGAGAGAGAGAGAGAGATTTAGAAGTTTTTGAAAGGTGGAATGGGCAGGGCTATAAAAAGGGCTGAGATGAGATGAGACCATGGGGACGTAGACCAAACGTGGGGGTCTTGTAGCGAGAAAAAAGAAAGGAATTTGATAAAGTAACGTAAGGTGGTGCGTCAGGGTTGGCGACAGAATGGCAGTGGGACTCAGGAGAGAGAAAGAAAGAGAGAGTTTCGTCTACATTTCGTCAAGACTGAGTTTGACTCGTTCCTAAAAAGAAATAGCAATCCACCTGCCCGAATGGTGCGGCGCGTACCACGTGAATAAAATGAAAACGAATGTGAGAGAGAAAGTCAACGGATTTGACGGCCAGAGATTGGGGTGGCGACTGACGACTGGGTGAGGGTATGACTACGGTATGTAGCTTCTGGGGACCCACGTATTCAGATCTGGGCGGTAATCAAATGTTGACTGTTTCGGTTCGTTGGACCGGGTCCCTTACTTTGACTTTTGGATTCTAATCTTACCCTTTATCTTCCTATGGCTTCCTACTTCAAGGCACATGCACTTATTAATCCAACTCAAAGGCTAAAAGAAGAGTTGTTGAACCATTAATATTAGTTTTTAAAGCAAAATGAAAAAGAACAAATAAATTTAAAAAAAAAACAAAATAATATCTATATAATAAAGTAGAACGATTTTGAATTCAAGACAAAGAGCGGTTCAGATAATTTTGAGATCAAAAAAGGCATCATCCAACGGTCGACGATATTTCAAACTGTCTCAAGCTATTGACGTCTCAGATCATTTCAATCCGACGTACTATATTAGCTCTTAAAAAATTTTTGCTGCTCAAAACTCTTACTTTCCAAAACTAACATCCCTAAATTTAATTTCCCAAACTAATCAAATCCGACAATTAAGCGATCTCTCATCCCCCAAACCCTATCTCTCTCTCTCCCTAAAATACAAATTACAACTCTTATCATTATTTTCTTGATTTTATTTCCTATGTTAAGGGATCACTTTCTATACTAAGACATTGACTGTCCCTCACACTCTCATCTTTCATGATTTTNCAATAACCCAACCGGATCAGAATTATCCAGAGTTAGACCCCATCCTTTTCCCATCAAAAACAAAGGAAAACCCAAGAACAAGAACTGGACGAGAGAGAGAGAGAGAGAGAGATTTAGAAGTTTTTGAAAGGTGGAATGGGCAGGGCTATNATTGCTCTATATCTTTACTGTTCATCTCACACGCACATCTTTACTATACATATATATAGTACAAAGATCGAAGACATATTATATCTACATGTTATATTTTAAGAAAAGTTTCATCTAAACACCACGTAATTTCAATAATTATATTATTCCAATGAATTTTTTATTTTAAAACGTTGTATTATAATTTTGTTATAATATTAATCATCATATTATCACTTATTTGGTTACATAATCAAGTTTTTATAGTTTTTACAATTAAAAATGATTTTTCAATAATAAAAATAACAATTGATAAAGTCAATGTCAAAATCTCATCAATTTCTAATTCCTCTGCTATCACATGTCCTTCACAACGTCGTCTCACTGCTCCTCACATATCACACTTTATATATAAAATTTAAAATTATTTGATAAAATTTAATATTAATTGAATAAATTTGATCTTAATTTTGATAAATTTAAATATTAATTTAGTTTTAATTTGATAAAATTAAATATTAATTTAGTATTAATTTGATTGAATTTAATGTTAATTGAATAAATTTGAATGTTGTTTTAATAAAACTAAATGTTCATTTGGTGTTAAATTAAAGAAATGACATTAATTTGATAAGGTTAAATTTTAAATTAATGAAATTTAATAAATTAAATATTTTTATTTAATAAAATTGAATTTCAATTTGATGTTGATTTGATAAAAATAAATAATAACTTAATATTAAATTAAAGAAATAATATTAATTTGATGAAATGAAATATTAAATTAATATAACTAAATGCTAATTTGATAAAATTAAATATCAATTTTGTGTTGATTTGATGAGATGATATGTTAATTTAGTTTAAATTAAATAAAAAAAATTAATTTGATAAAATTGAATATTAAATTGATGAAAATAAATGCTAATACAATAGAACTAAAAGGGAGTGTATTGAAATTTCATAATCAAGAAGGGATGTTGTTAAAGTTAAGTCTATTTACAATAGATGTTGTTAAAGTTAGGTTTACTTATAAATGGTGTGGATAAAATTTATCTTATAAAATACTTGAAAATATTTTTATAAATCAACCATCGCCATTAACGGTGTAATCTGACAATCACTAATAGGGAGTGATAGTGAAATTTCAAAATCGAAAAGAGGTGTCATTGAATTTAGACCTAATTACAGGGGATCTGAATAAAATTTTCCCTTATATCTATACAAATCTATATAATAAAACACACACGATGTCGAATTTTATCCTCCCATCTCCCAAAACCATCACATCACTCATTTCTATCGCATGCTCAACCATTTAATATTTGATTAATTTGTAATTTAACATAATTTTTATTTAAGATATTATCCATACATGATAGTATAGATCTGTTAAAAAAATTTATCGAATTACATATTTTGAGAAAATTTGTCAATATTTTTAAGAAAATAACGGGTAAAAATAAATTTTGAATGATTTAATCAAACAAATGAAAGAAAAAAAAATATTATTTAATATAGTGATATCGATTTTTTAAGACTCAATTTTTTTGTTCTATCGTGCCTTGAGGCACGGGTTATGACAAGTAATTATATATTGTAGATAGAAGTTCAAGTATAAAAAATACTTAAAAATTATTTTTCTTACACGTTTTTAAGACTCGTGACAACAATTCATGCGCTAAATAAAACAAACCTTCGTAAAATAATGCATGCTAAGTCCATCAAAACTAGAAATGTGGGATGTAGTTAGAGGAAGATTGTCTTCTTTTAAACTGTCAGATTCTTTTATCTGCAGTACTCAAGTCCTAAAATTGTTGTTGTATTGAAATTTTCTCATATTTCCTATTTATCCTTTGTTTCCTTGTAAAGCCAAACCTCATAATCAATACAATTCAGTCTATTTAGAATAAAAAAATTTACTACCTCGAGATATTATCCATGACAATCGTCCCATTAGAGTAATCTACCACAAGTTCATTTGGACTTTCATGACTTCAACGTAAAATCATGTGATGTTTGGATGTCAAAAATGTTTTATCTAACGGTCGTATTCTACTTTAAAGCACACAGATAATTTGATAATTAGGTGTGTTTTTGTTTATTTTCATTGATGAGTTGGTCATTGATCGATGTGAACTGTCTAACAGCTTTCAAGCCGCCCTCCTTAACCTTTAAAGTCCTCCTTAATGCCTTGCTTTGTTCAAATTGTACACCAATTTCAACATACACTGACGTGCCTTTCTTATCTTAATTTGATTAGTCCCAATCAATGTTCAACCAAAAGAAAAAGAAAAATTCTATGGTACCAAAAAAACAAATTCGCTATTGTTACTGTCAGTTATCACTTTTTTATAGTAAATTTATCACTTTGAAAGAAAAAATCATAATTATTCAAGAGAAGAGTATGATCGATCATAAACATTTATGATCCATTATAAACTTATCCAAAATTAATATTTCTTTTGTATTTTTTTGGGTCAAATACCAGATTACACATAAAAAATTACTAATAACTCCAATTAAAATGTACAGTCGATAATTTATTTTTAGAGAGAGCAGAGTATTCCCATATCTTAGTCTCTTTTTTTTCTATCCCTTTCTATTTTTTTTTTTTATCTTTATTTAGTTTCCGTAATCTGACAGTGTTTCTCACAAAACGTCAAGTATTTGCCAACAAATAATGTTTAACAAAAATTCGATTGACATTGAGTGGCTGCTCTCCTGCACTGTCATGATCCTTGCTGTACTATTGTTTATTCTTTGAAGAATAAATTATAAACATGACCTTTAAATTATAATTTTTGAATTAATTACCTTCTTGAATTTTTCATATATAAATTAATTTCTTAAATTCTCTAATTCTGTCAATTAAGTTTTTGAATTTTATTTTCTTTGAATTAAGTCCCTGAAGTTTTTAATTATATTAATTGAGTCTTTTTGTATCATATGATCCCACAAGTGACACTCTCCAACATAGACAAAAAAAAATAAAGTAATTGATTCATTATTCCCATCTTCAATAATGTGGAGAGTTATTTAATTTATCTTTAAGATAAACCAAAGATAGTAGCGTCAAATGAGATTCATACCGTTATAATCCTTCTCAAATAGTGTATTTTGTTTTGAGAAACAAAGAAAGAAAGGAAAAAATAGGAATGTATTTACAAAAATTTTAAAGCATATAAATAGGTTATGCAATTAATTTTTGTGTGAGTATGATTAGTTTTGTCGAACGAAAAAAAAAAGAGGAAAACATTGTTTCATTACTATTTTGTAAGACTGATATAAATGCATGCTGGTACGTATATAAACAATAAGCTTATGTATGTTCATATGATACACACTAATAAAGTTAGAAGAAACTAATTAACAAATTCAGAAACAAATAAAAATATAAAATGTTATTTATAATATAAAATAAAATAAATTTTAATAAATTTATTTAATGACTATCAATATACCTCTCAAAATTATTCAAATTATACTGTGCATCTATGTAAGTAAGAATATATGATACCAAACCTATATATGTTTCCTAAAAATTAATAAAATAATATAAAAAAATACTAAAATTCATTGTCAAACTTCTTGAAATTTCATTGAACTTTTTACATTGATGTTGGATGAATATTTATATTTATGTAATAAATTTATGTTTATTGATTATTAAAAAGATCAAAATCCTACAACCAGTGGTGGAGCTTCAGTATGGCCCCTTAAAATTTTTAGAAGCCCTATAATAATAATATTTTAGTCCTTTTAGAGGTTTGCCAGCATAGAAATGGTCCCCCCCAATAAAAATCTTTTTTCGGTAAGACTTCAATAGAAATTTTCTTTACATATATAATGACTA